ATTCAATAGAAAACAATGTTATTAAAATATTGGATAAAAAATTATTAATCGAGAAACAAAAAAAAATCGATCCAAATAAATTAATAAAAGAATTATCTGATAATGATATTGAAATGATTTTAAATCAACTATCTGTTGAAAGAAATCAATTAAATAAAGAAACTTTATGTAGAAATTTAGGTTTAACTTTCAATCAATTATATCAAACTGACCAAATATTTCATATTAATGATTATGAATTAGTCAAAAAATTACACAAAAAATTAACAAAAGTTTTACATTCCGATTGGTCATTAAATTCAATCGAACAAATTATTAATCGAATTAATACAAAACAAGATCTTGAAAATCTCTTCAATGCATTAGATCCTATTTATGAATATAATTTAAAAGAATTTCAGAAAAAAATTGAAGGAAAATGTTTAATTGAAATAGAAATCAAAACATTTCAATTTTACAAAATAATAAATTAATAGAAGAATATGAAAAGATTCAAACGGCATATGAAAATAAATCCAAATTATGTCCAGAATTCTGTGTCATTCAAAAATGGTCGGAATCAAATATAAAAGAATGGAGTAAAAAGGTGAAAACTTCATCAATGGATACTGTTAATCTGTACGAAAAAATTGCAGTTGTAAAAAAAGCAGTAGAATTAACAAGTAAATTTCCTCCAAGAGAAATTCAATTATTATCAATATTAATATTGATGAACCCAGAAGAAAATAAAGGACGCCTTGCACAAATCAATACTGGTGAAGGTAAAACAACAATTGTTGCAATGTTAGCTACACTTAAAGCTCTTGAAGGACATTGTGTCGATGTTATTACTAGTTCACCTGAGCTAGCTAAACCACAGTCAATACATCAAGAAAATTTTTATAATTTATTTAATTTAACTGTTTCACATAATGGTACTGATACAATTGATATTAAAGAACGATATAATGCGAATATTGTTTATGGTGCAGCTAGTGATTTTCAAGGTGATATTTTACGTGATGAATATAGTAAATTAGGTACAAGAAACGGTCGAAAATGTGATATTGCAATCGTCGATGAAGTTGATTCGATGTTAATTGATGGTAAAAATCATATTGTCATGTTATCATCACCAATGCCAGCAATGGATCATTTAGAACCATTGTTAGCAGCTATTTGGATACAAATTCAACAAGTAGCTAAATGTATTCAAGAAATTGACGGTCAAGATTATTATATTGAACACTCGGATATATTTAATGATGATGGTACAGTTAAATCTGATATTATAGAAGCTGCTTTTCCACTTGAAACTTCAAAAGAAGAATTTATTAAAAAAGCTACAGAAAATCATATCAGAAAATTAATCCGAGATGTTAAACACTTACCTGATACAGATAAAGAAATTCCTGAAGAATATCCCGAAATAAAAATTCCTAAACATTTAAGACAATTAATTGTTGAAAGTCAATTAATCAAATGGATCGATAGTGCAATTTATGCTAGATATCAATGTCAAAATAATCAACATTATGTTCTTCGAAATGGAAAAATAGCACCAGTTGATGCAAGTAATACAGGAATCGTACAAGAAAATATGCACTGGAATGATGGCTTACATCAATTTTTACAAATAAAACATGGAGCAAAAATAACTGCAGAAAGCTTAACAACAAATTTTCTTTCAAATGTCACTTACTTTCAAAAATATGGTTCAAATATCTATGGTTTAACAGGAACACTAGGAAGTGAAAAAGCTCAAGAATTATTAAGTAAAATTTATCATGTTGATCATGTTATTATTCCACCATTTCGAAAAAAACAATATCAAGAATTAACACCAATCATTCTTAAAAATGAAAATGATTGGCATGAAAATATTATTGAAAGTTCAATGAATAAACTTAATAATGGACGAGGTGTTTTAATTATCACAAAATATATCAAAGAAGTTGATGAAATTAAAAGTCGATTAAATAAAATTGGATATGATTCATCAAAAATTAAAACATATCGAACTGAAGATGAATCAAATAGTATTGAAGAAGATATGAAACCAGGTGAAATTATTATTGCAACAAATATTGCTGGAAGAGGAACAGATATTCGCGCAAACAAAATTGAACAAAATGGTGGATTACATGTTTTAATTACATTTTTACCACCAAATGAACGTGTTGAACAACAAAATATTGGTCGAACAGCAAGAACAGGAAATAAAGGAACTGGTCAATTTATTTTATTAGAAAAAGATAAAGATAATTATGAACAATTAAAAGCTGTTCGAAATAAAAGAGAAGAAGATAGTATACGTACCGCTGAAACAGAAATTGAAAAAGTAACAATTAAGGATGCTATTTTTAAAGAATTTTGTAATTTATTAACAAGCATTGCTGGAAATCATATGACAACAGATATAACAACTAAAATCAAAGCACGAGCAGTTGAAGATCGATTTAGTATTTGGTTAAAATTAAATGAACAAACAATAACAACAAACACAAAAGAAGAAATGTTGAAAAAATTTAATTTATTTCAACAAAAAATTTTAAATGATAAAGAAAGAGATACTTTAATTGAAAATGCATATTTTTACATATTAATCGGTAATGAATATTTAAACGAGAAAGATAACGTTAAAAATCAAGATGCAATTGATCAATATACAAAAGCTATTGAATTAGATGAACCTTTTCAAGCAAATGCTTATTATAATCGTGGTTATGCACGCATTGATTTATATGGAAAAAAATGTAAAAAATATATAGAAGAAATTGACAAAGCAATTGATGATTTTAAACAAGCTAAAAGAATTATTGAAGATAATTTTGAACCAATGCTACATATTATTCAGCAAGCATCAAATTCTGAAGCTATATCTGAACAAATCATACATAAAATGGCATTATTTAATGTACAAAAAAATACTATTGAATTAGCTATTGGGACTGAAAATAGTACTGATATTGAAATAGAAGAATTAGAAAAACAAAAAAATCTAAGATCAGAAGATAGAACACAAATACAGGAACAAATTAATAATTTAAAAGATAATAAACAATTACGAGAAAATGGAATTATTGGGCAGGCAAGAGCAAACAAGCAAAATATAGAAATTGAACATTTGGAAATTGAAAAAGCATTACCTGAAGATCAAGATATTAAATTATATAACACTGAAATAAATGAATATGAAAATAATGGATTTCGAGGATGTTTTAAAATCAAAAAAATCAAGCCTATTGATTGGTGGTCAGTTATTAGTGTTGCTGCTCTTGGTATAGCACAATTAGTTAGTGGAGCAGCACTTGCTGTATTTAGTCTTGGTGCTGGTGCTTCCATTGGTATGGGATTAATGTTTGAAGGTGTTAGTGATCTTATAACAGCAGTTAAAGATGGTATTATTAATCGAGATTTTAGTTGGGCAACATATGGAATACAAAAGGCAATTAGTTTGACTGTATCTCTTGTATGTGCTGGATTTGGTGCCATAAAAAATGCAGCAAAAACTGTCGTTGTCGGAGTGAAAAGTTTTGGTCAAGGATTGACAACAACAACAGTAAAAACGGGATGGAAAATCGTAGCAAAATCTATTGGTATTAGCTTAGCTAAAGGTGTAGGAGAAGAATTAGCAAAAGAACTTATTGGTTATGGTGTAAATAAAACTCTGATACCTTTAATTACAGAAGAAATTATGAAAAGAGTTGAAGAACCAATACAAAATGCATTATTAACAAATAATTGTGTAAAAACAATGCTCGAATTAGATGCGAAAAATCGAAATAGCAAGTATGAAAGTTTAATTAAGATTAAAGCTATGGAATTATTAAACTCACGTGAACACCAAAGTGCATTAAAAGCTATCACTACTGGTATAATTAAGGGTATAGCCAAGCGGAAAGTATCAAGCTTCTCTGCATTATTAACAACTTATGAAATGGCAGCAACTCTACATGAACTAGAAAGATTTGTTCCCAATTTTATAAGCAAATTAAATGAACAGATAGAAAAAATTTATAAAGAAGAAAAGATTGAAGAAATTATATCTCAACATGAATATAAATCACAACAAAAACAACAACAATATGAAGTAAACAAGCAAAGTACGATTGATAATAATAAGAAAATCAAAACAAACATAAAGGAAGAAAATCATCAGAATGATATGTCGACTTTTACTATGGATAGATCGGATAATGATATTGGTTCGAAAAATGTTCAAGAAGAAGAACAAATAAAATTGAACAGAGAAAATACATCTCCAGATGGATTATGCAGAATATTAGCAACAAATGTATCGGCACATATGTGCAATATTATACAACATAAATTAATTGCTCCTATTACCCATGTTGGTATCCATTTTGGTATGACAAAAATAACAGCAGAGTTGGATAGAAATCTACAAGAACAGATTGGTCATTATCAGTCTGAGAAAAGAATAGAAGTTTCGCAAGATATAGATCAACATTATCGACTTTCAAGAAGCTATAAACGAGGTTCAGAGAATCCAGAAGCTTTAGCGAAGGCAGGTAAGATGGTTGAGGACATAAAAAACGATGGAGAGGCTGGATTACCACATTTAGGATCATTGAGTGATGCAGTAGGAAGACCAATAAAAGTTTATAATAAAAAAGGAGAACTGATGCGCATTATTGGTAAAAAGAAAGGTGGTGTCCCAGTAGAGATACAGTATCATAAGCCTAACAAAGATAATCCATCAGGACATTGGACTTTACCAGGAGGCAAAGAACCTGTAGTAAATAATTCTGGAAAAAATAATTGTTTATTTAACGTCATTGCAGAACAAACAAAAATAGATTCGAATCAATTAAGAGCAGATACTGCTATTAGAATGGAAAATAGTAAAGCAATACTTGCTAATCAAGCTTTTGATATAATGAGATTAGAACAATATAAACAAAGTGCCTTGACAATGGGCGGTGTTAAATTACAGGGTCAAACTATATATTTTGATGATGAAGAAATTGATCAGTTAATTAAATTAGCAGAGTCTGGATTTAATAAGCGAGAAGAAGCACCAAGAGATTTAGATATTATTCGTGCACAAGACGATAAGGGAAAACAAGTTGTAATTTCAAAACATCATGTAATTCCAGAATGCCAAGTAAGAGAAGATTTTAAAGACCTTGTTAAGCAGTATAGAAATGATAGAAATGGTCTCAAAAGAGAATTAATAAAATATATAAATCACGAAAACAATGCCATTGCAAAAGAGAGATTTATTAATGTTTTCAAATTAAAAGACAGTTCTAAAGTCACCAATAGACCAGAATTAGTAGTAGCTGAAATCCAAAACTCAGTATCCTGGCATGCAAATAATTTTAGAATTGGGCCAGAAGGAGCGTTAAGGAATGATGATCCTACAAAGCGTGAAACACCATTTGGAATTGATTTTCCGGTAGCAGATAAAGATACAAAAGTCTGTTTGAATCAATACATTAAACGAAAAACTGATGGTCAAGTTGATATTTTATGCACATTAAATAAACTTCCAAATAATGTAAACAATTTTGCGTGGAAATTAGGACGACATGGAAAGTATGAAGTTGATCCTACTAATAAAATAGGAAAAACTTCTCATTTTTATAAATCAAAAAGACCAGAAGATTCAACATTTAATCCTTTCCGATCTAAGTGAGAGTAAACTTTCATCCATAATTTAGAATAAGTTTTAGGTGAAATTCCATGACATATATAGTTAAGGAGGATTAGGTAATTTATAAGACAGTATATTAGGATAGTTCTTCTTAATCTTTGCATCCGTACGAATCCACATTATATAGGAATAAAGTAGTATCTTTGATTTAGTGATGATCAATAGCTTCTTTTAGTTTTCCAATAAGACCGATTTTTTTAGCAAATTGACCTGTATCTTTTTTTACAACATCAATTATAAGATTCGAAAATATAGAGGAATATTTTTCAAGCATATTAAGTCTGATTCAAATAAGTCATTAGTAAATAACTTTCACAAGAAAAACCTGAAATTTTCATCTTTGGTCAATCTATACAGTTTATTAAACGATAAACAGACGTCATAGATTCTAAAGAAAAACAATTCTTTGAAAATCTCACAACTTAAATAGGTAATTTAACCTTTTTCAAATTTTCAAAAATAATTATTGTAGTACGATTCTAAGAACATCGTATACTTTTGTCCTTTTTCTTGTAGTATCACTTTTTTTCAAACATGTTTATTTCAATTCTTCATACTCTGTTTCTGTATTCTTGATGCTTTCTTCTTTGTTTTTGTTCTTTTTTTGTATAATCATAATCACCAATTAAACAAGAACGTATTTGAACGACATAACTTAGAATATTGTTGGATCAACTGACGCGAGCAGAAGTTCATATTAATATCATAATTGTGAACTTGATATCTTCAACAAATTCTTTCTGATGCAACTTCTATCGATGCACAAAGTCTATGCGGTCAAAATGTGAAACAAAACAAAGAAATAAAAATATTAATAAAAAATTAGCAAGAAAAATAAATCTTTATCCTGAATTTACTACATAGTAACAACATTGAAGATTTCTCAACATATTAAAATGACTAAATGGAAACAATATAACTGAATTCTTAAATTCATAAATTTATGCCAATACTGTTTGCTGACACTGCGACTGATAATCGCAACGAAAATTTCGATTTTCCAGTTTGAGAGTGAAGCACAAATTAATTTAACAATAAAAGATATAGTTGATTTCAATAATCCAAAAACAAGTTATATCATCGATGGTTTAATGAATTGGTAATATTGAATCCAAAAGATTCATTATCGATGTTATATTCACTCAATTCATGTATTTATGTGTAGTCTTCGATTTTTATTATTATTAGTAAAAATATCTCTTGAAAACAGTAGATCAATTTATAATCTACAGAATACATTGTTAGTATCCTCACGTTTATGTACATCATATGGAAAGACAATCGCTCCCGCTCTTCTACTATTTCCTTTTTTCGAAAGAGAAATTTTTTTTCTGGTTGTTTTTGTTTATTTGATGCCTGTTCATGTCTTTTTGTTTCGTTTTCTTTTTCTTTTGTTTGTATTTTATTCCTGACTGTGAGTTTAAGAAGACAAATCAAAAAGTTCAAAACAATAGTCATTTGTCTACTTTTTTTGTGAAACACGATCTGAAACGAGTGTTGAAGTGTTTAGGGTAGAAATTTTGAACTCACCCCCCGGCCCCCCTCCCTCATAGACAGGGACAGAGAAATTAATTAATTAGTTAGCTGATTAATTAATTATTTAATTAATTAATTTCTGTCCCGGTCTTTGATGGTTTCTGAGGTCGCTGTCACGGTCTGTGATGGTCTCTGAATTCTCTGTCACTGTCTGTGATGGTCTCTGAATTATCTGTCATTGTCTGTGATGGTCTCTAGAGATTTCATACACCATAATACAGATACAGACCGTGGCAGAGAACCTCCACAGACCGTCACAGACCGGGGTAGCCGGNATTTCATACACCATAATACAGATACAGACCGTGGCAGAGAACCTCCACAGACCGTCACAGACCGTGGTAGACGGGTTCCAGAAAACGAGCTTTATCGTGTTTCACATTTTTAATCCCACAGGGATTGCGCTAACAGCTTTTTTCAACAGTAGTGTCAAACTTGAAAGTTGAATTCAATTATTGAAATTTCAACTATCCAACTATTCAATTACTCATGCAGCCTTGTCCACCCCTCCCCGATCCCTTCTCTCGAAACTCCCAATAATTGAATAGTTGAAAATGGGAATAGTTGGAAATAGAGATGTTCAATAATTGAATTCAACTTTCAATTTGTACATGTATGCTCGAAGAGATGAGCATATTTAAGCAAGATAACATTTTCTATGCTATTCATGATTGTGTGAAGGATAGGAATGAAGCAACATATTTTGCAGATGAATTCGGGTATCTTTTGTGTGTAGAGTTGTTATATTCTCATCAAATATCTTGCTTGACCACAGTACGTTTGAGAAGAAAGTGTATTTGAATACACCTTCTGTATCTGTTGTGAAGCAGAATTATAATGTGTCAATATGTGAGCAAATAAAAATAGTAATATAATCTTATCTCTCTTCACCTCTGCATCCTTCTTCTTTTATCATCTTCTGTCTGATGCTATTCATATATGCATTATAACTATTCAGGTAAATTGTTAAAATAAGAAAAACTGAAAAGATTCTCTTGAGCAAGATGCTTATGCGTTTATTATTGCTTAATTTGACTGCAGCAATGTTGATTGGCGCAAGCCAACCTAGCTTTCCAGACTGTAAATCAGGTCCTATATCAACATTTCCTATATGAAATCAATCGCTTTCGAGTCGCATACGTGCTGCGGATCTCATTGGTCGTATGACAACTACTGAGAAAATCACTCAGATAGTGAGAAATGCTTCAGCTATACCACGACTTGGTCTACCGAACTTTGTTTGGGGATCAGAGGCTCCGCATGGCGTTGCCTACTCTGCTGGTGTAACATTTGGCGGCGATCTTCTTGCCGCTACCTCATTTCCCATGCCCATCAATCTGGGTGCTTCATTTGACATGTCTCTCGTTCACCGTATCGCTACCATTATTTCTACTGAAGCTCGTGCGTTTAACAACGAAGGACGGGCAACTCTATGCTTTTTTACGCCGAACATCAACATTTTTCGTGATTCACGCTGGGGACGTGGTCAAGAAACTCCTGGTGAAGATCCTTTTCTCACTTCACAATACGTCTACACATTGATCGATGGTTTGCAAAATGGTGACGATGAACGATATTTGAAAACAGCAGCTGTTTGCAAACATTACGATGCTTATGATCTCGAAGAATGGCACGGTGTCGATCGACACCACTTTAATGCCATAGTGAACGATCAAGATCTAGTTGAAACATATCTACCACCATTCGAAAGTTGCATACGTGATGCTCATGTAGCCAGTATCATGTGTAGTTATAATATGATTAATGATGTCCCTGGCTGTGCCAATCGATTTTTACTTCAAACTATTGCTCGGTAACGAATGTTAGCCAATCTTTTCTTGAATTTTACTTAGTTTTTACGTAGCGATTCATATCAACTCGATGGATTTGTTGTTAGCGATGGTGGAGCAATTCCTACAATTATGAATGCAGCTAATTATACATCGACTGTGCAGGAAACGGTAGCTGCCGCACTTCACGCTGGAGTCGATCTCGAATCTGGCACATTCTACTTACAACATGCTCAGGAAGCACTTGATAATAAAACAATTGTCGAAAGTGATATTAATCAAGCACTTGAACGTACATTTAATGTTCTGGTTCAGCTCGGGTGGTTTGATCCGCCAGAACAGCAACCCTATCGTCGCCTAAACAAAGATAATGTCAACACGACCGATGCTCAACAGCTAGCATTGCTAAGTGCACAAGGAGTATTGTCCTTCTGAAAAAATGTCAACAATGCATTGCCATTGGATATGGACAGACTAATAGGCAAAAAACTAGCCCTAATCGGTCCGACAGCTAATGCAACAGTGTCAATGCAAGGTAACTATTATGGTAAAGCACCATATCTTATTGATCCAATTACGGCATTCAAATCTTTAATAGCAAGTATGATCGAAAATTAGAATCCCAGATTTTTACGTTCAGTTTTGTTTGAAGATAGATCAATTGATATTGAATCAGTAGCTGGTTGCCAAATATCGGGTAATGATACTAGCGACTTTTCATCAGCTATTCAATTGGCTTAGCAGGTTGATGTAGTTATCTTCTTTGGTGGAATCAATCAATCAGTCGAAGCTAAATCTCGTGATCGTAATGAGATTACCTTACCAGCAATCCAACTAACATTGTTACAAGAACTCGAAAAAGTTGTTCGCTCACCTATCCATGTTGTCATTATGTCAGGTAGCGGTCTAGATCTTTCATACATTCATGACTCTACCAACTTTAGTAGTCTAATTTGGATGGGTTACGCTGGTCAAGCTGGCGGCTTAGCTGTGGCAACTTCTATTTTTGGACAGTACAATCCTGGCGGACGTCTACCAATTACCTTCTATCCGGCTTCATATGTAGATGCCGTAAGCATGTTTGACATGCAAATGCGACCATCGAAAACGAATCCAGGTCGCACGTACAAGTTCTTTACAGGTCAAGCAGTTTACGAGTTCGGAACTGGCCTTTCTTATACTGAATTTGCTTATTCATGTGGTAACGACTCGTTAATTTCCTCATACAAGCTACGTACATTGATGAGAAATACTGATGGCAAGAGACATGTTTTGGTTACTCGTTTTCGTGTTAATGTAACAAATACAGGTTCTCTGGCAGGCGATGATGTTGTTCTCGCATTTTTGGAACCACCGAGAACATCAACAATAGATCCTACGCCTCCTATTAAACAACTCTTTGGATTTCAAAGGGTTCATCTGAATGTAAACGAATCTAAGGAAGTTTACTTTTCATTCTATGCCGACTCGCTTCTGTCTATCGGGCATAATGGATTCAAATGGCTTCAGCCAGGACTCTATAAGATCATTATTGGAACGAAAGTCATGCATACAATTAAATTACAAGGGAGAGGTGCTCTTTGGTCAGAGCTAGGTCACTGAAAACGACATTTGATTATTTGCACAACATAAGCGCGCAGTTTTTATACTAAGCAAAACCAAAACTCTTAAATGAAACAGTTTTTAAAAATTTTGTTGTGACTTTACTAAATTCATCTATGCTTTTATATTGATTATACTTCATTTTGCTGTATCATTTCGTAAATAAAACTCCCGTACGAAACAGTGATGAGACCGATTCGGTTCGGTTCGAAGTCTTATAAGCCGATATAAACCGATTCATTAATTTTCAAGCAACATGCTTTTTTCCTTTAAGCGAGAGAATCAAACAAAAACAACAGACATATGGGTGTGAAGAAGCTGCCATGATCGGTTTCGTCCTTTCTCAAGGGACTCAGCAGGTGGCTTAAAGTATGGCAGAGATTCAAAGAATAGCGGTAAATTTGTTTGGATCTCTAATAGAATTTAGTTCTTATTTTTAATGAGCTTTCGTTTAAAAAAAAATTCGAATTTTAATGTATCATTGAAATGGTCTCTGTTTTTGGGAGGTTATAATTTGTATGAAAATGAATGGACTCGAATGATATATGTTTTTTCTTTGAAAAACATTTGTATTACTTTGATGGTAGAATAATTTAAGTTTTCGCTTCTGTTTTATTGAATAATTGAAATCATTTTAGAGGAAACAATGTCATGAATAGTTCGTTGTGTTGATGTTGTTGAAGGATATATATTATGATGAATTTTGATTAATATTTGTTGATTTTCTGCTTAGATTTGTGGGTTGAATTGACGATGCTTACGTTTTTCACGGTTTTTATCTAGATTAAAGAAATCAATGTGTATTATATTATATTTTCAAGATTGTTTTATTTTTTTCGGGTATCGTACTTGTTTTAACTTTGTTTTTCAGTATTGCCTGTGGTGGGCGCTTTCGAATCAGTTCTTTCATTGTGTTTTTGCCATTTGTGTTCCCAACGATCAGTTTGGTTTCGATTATTTGAAGTATTCGCGAATGTGTCTTGAAAGATACGATGCATGTCTCTCTTACGTGTATTGAATCGCTTCTCATGTGTATAATGAATTATAAGTTTGTTTTGAAATTCCTTTGGTTTCTGATAATCTTTAATGATTAATTCTTGATTTTTAGTTGATTCTTGAATAAAATGATCATTATCGGTCGTGAGTATTGCAATTCTCATTTCGACTTGAGATTGTTGTCGACTTGGCTATCCAGATAGTTCAATACGCATTTGTAAGAATTGCCTTTCATTATCAAGAAATGGTAGAAATGATCGAGATGATATGTAGCCAGAGAAGAATTTTCGGAATGTCTTGTCGATAAATGAAGAAGGGTAACTATAGAATAAATCAATGAGAATAGTAAATGTATCAACAATAAACTTACCCATTGTACAAAAATGTTGATTTGATATATCTTCTCTCATCATTGAATGATTGAAAAGTTGATGAATATTTGATTGCACGTCGAAGACTTGTTTGTACAATGTTATCAAATACATGTCGAGGATGATCAGAAATAAATGGTACAACATAGGGTCCAGTTAATATCAAGATCATGACCGAGACTGAACGAGACCGAGTCTCGGTCTCGGTACATCCCTAACCATAATTTATATGCATTCACATGTTAGAAATCGAGTACATATAACTATAGTGATAATATCCTAGTAATTATAGAAACAAAATAAAAAGATCATATATAACTGATGATGCTATGTAGTAGAATGTTTGAACACTGACGTTTATAATTATCTATCTTAATGAGTTTTATGAACTGTTTATATGAATGAAAAACAAAGACAAAAAGAAAGTATAATGTATATTAAAATTATTTCTATCTATTCGTCTTGGCATATACATAGAAGGCAGGACAAGCTATGTAACCAATAAAAAAAGTTTATTTCGATAGCTGTTATATATGTGTTTCAGCTCTCGACATTTTGCCCAAAAATTTTTCTATCACGCGTTATTTATTTTATTGAAATTAATATGAAGGAAAAAAAGAAGAAAAATGAAGACCAAGTGGATAAAATACTTTTTGGGTTAATGTAATACATTTATCATATGATTGAAGAATGTTCTTATAATGTTCAAAATCAACGACATATTGATAAGTTATATAAATTTTTCGATTCTGTTTATCAACCAATTCAATCTTACTATGCCGATTAAACTATTCAAAAAAGATTACTCTATGAATCAAATGAAAGAATATATTACTTCTAATAATTCCAAAAGACGTTGTTTAACAAGTAAACGAAATCGTCGCATTTGTTTATCATCATTATGATTGATTGATTGAAGAAGACACATTTCATGAACACGTCGTGTTTCTTGTTTAGTTAATTTAAAACTTCTCGTGCTTTATCAATCATTTCTTTTGTTACACGATCAGTTTTAAGTATTGATTCTTTAGAAAATAAATCTGGTAAATATTTATGACATAATTCAAGTGAAACAAGATCACGTAATGCAACAAATTCATCCGATGGATCTTCAGCTAGATGAAGTTAAAAATTATTATTAAACCTGACACGAAGTTCGTAAATTACCTTTAATGTCTTGAACACGTGAATTTGTTCGTAAATCTTCATAAATTGCTGTTAAAAGACGTCGTCCGTGACCTTTTCGTTGATAAGGTGGTAAAATTAACATTTCACTAAAAAAATAAAACTCATCAAACAAAAAAAAATCGATGCCACGAGTTCTAACCAAATTTGTGGTCGAGTTTTATCTGGATAAACATAATATAAATAAACTTTAGTAAATCCAATAGGTGTATAAGATATTTGACCATTATCATTTTTATATTGTTGATAAACGATATAAACAATCCATTTTAAATTGTTTTTATTAATAGATGGCACGATATCGATAAAAAAAACATAATAAATGTTTGAAGATGATTATACCAATCAAAGAATTTTGAGTTACTAGGTAAATTTTGTTGATTTATACGATGAATAAAATAAGAAGATTCATGTCCAGTTAATTCATAGCCTAATAATTGTTCACCAAATGGTGAATATTCATATTCAGCTTTTATTTTCAATAAAAATAATTCTAGATTTGTTGTTATTGTTGATGATAACCTTTGACTTAATGATGCAATTATAACATCAGGCTTAAAATAAAAACAATTTATTTATTAAAAAAAAAAGAAAATAGATTTATTTACTGTCAATTGCTGGTCGCTTGTTTGATTAATTTTTTCGTCATAATGAATATTTAAATAAAAATTATTTGATGCTTCTATTAGATTAATTAACCCTTAACACGTTGTCTCAAGAAATTCGATATCTGTTTTCAACTTAGCATTTCGTATTACATTCAGTATTTTGTCGTTTGCTTCATAAGATTCATTACGAATAGATGAAGTAAGTAAATGAGTTCATGCTACTATGAATTATCAAAATCACTAACATCTTTTGCGATGGACGGAAAATCAGAGTTATTTCCTAAATTTACATTATGATGAGCAGACATACTAAATCTTGGGTGGGTGTGCGTGTCAGTGACTGGATTTTCGGACGATCCGCACCCACACCACACACTCATGCCCACACCCGGGCTCACATCGTGGGAGCAGCCGATGCAAATGACGGCAACAAACCCGACATTAGGCAGTAGCGAATAATATGCCAACTTCCATTTTTTCCCATAAAAGATTCCGCATTATCTTTGAAATAAAACAAAACTTATTTAAAATACCTAGAAAACATTAAAGGAAAATGTTTCCACACAAGAAACTCTTTGGGATTTGGAAATGGTTCAACTCAATGTATTAGTTAGTTGTGTTTTTCTTGCTTATTTTGACTCGTCGCATAGTGGGAATAGGCGAAGAGAAGGGAAAAAAAGTAATATCAAGAGTGGTGATGACGTGGAAAAATATTATCAGATGAAAGGTTGAAGAACGTGATATTAACTCATCTATTTTATAACACAATGTTCTTATCTTTTTCATATGCGACCTGCATACGAAATACCTATACAACTGAAGCTTAAGCGTAACTACTATTTTCTCCTTACTAATCATTTTGCTTTAGCTCTGCGTTTTGTTCTTATATTATTGTCCTTGATATTTGTCCTCACCACTCATGCTTTTTTGTTCTCTCTGATGGTTGAGTATTTAAACATGTGTTCTATATGTAATCGGCGCGATTCATGGTATGTAGAAATTAAATAAAGCATAGCTCCATCCAGAGCTAGGACGAGTACTTTTGAAGAAAAAAAGTACTTAAACAAGAAATTTTTTGCCAATTCGGAATAGACCCATACCCAATAGGCTCATTTTGTTTACCTTAACGACCTTTATCAGATACATTGATACATAATTCATGTACAATCTCTGTACTACAGAAAAGCGCGCAATACTGCAAAAATCGCAAATACTTTCAAGTACAGGTGATTTTTGCAGTA